TCTGGTGGCTTTCAAATCTTCTCTCTCGGTCATGGATCTGTTGCTGAAGAAATTAAAGGAAAACGCCTTTCAAGCCGTCCAAAAACCCTTCTCAATATTGATGAATCTGGAGCAACCTTTAAATCCTATTTGGATGGCCGTCTCCATCATCTTACCCCAGAAAAATCTATCCAGATTCAACGCCAATTGGGCGCAGACCTGATCGTTGTCCTCGATGAGTGCACTCCCTTTCACGTAGACAAGGAGTACACAAAAAAGTCGATGAAGATGAGTCACCGCTGGGCTTTACGATCCTTAGAAGAATTCAATCGTACAGATAATCATACTCAAGCGCTTTATGGCATTATCCAAGGCGGTATTCATCAAGATCTACGCGAAATGAGTACGGATTTCGTCAATACACATGATTTCTTCGGCCACGCTATCGGAGGGTCCTTAGGAGCAGACAAGTCACAAATGGATGATGTTGTGGCCTTTACAGCAGAAAAACTCTCAACAGATCGTCCTATTCATCTTTTAGGAATTGGCGGTATTCGAGATATTTTTGCAGGCGTCAAACAAGGAATTGATACTTTTGATTGTGTTCATCCCACACGTCTTGCACGACATGGTGGCGCACTAATTAAACCTCACGAATGGGAAGGGTTGTCTCCACATCCTAAAGAACATCTTAACCTGCGCAATGCGCATTTTGCCTTAGATAAACGCCCTATTTCCCAAGATTGTCCTTGTGAAACCTGTGCCAACTTTTCCCGTGGCTACTTACATCACCTATTAAAGGCCAAAGAGCTCCTCGCCCTTCAGGCAATCTCTCTGCACAACATCGCCTTCATGAACCAGCTTATGTCTGCTATCAGACAGGCGTTAAAGGAAGAACGATTAGACGCGGAACAAAAAAATTGGATCACCTGTTAAACTTCCCTCTTGAAGACAATATGACATGATTCTACAGTAAAAATGTCACCATACACTAAAGGGGAGGAAGCAACCATGTCATCGTTCATTGAAGTTGAAAAACGTTACCAACTTTTAGACAAAAGCATTACTCCATGTCAAAAAGGATTTGAATGGGTCTCAAGAGAGCATATTATTGACTGTTACTTTGATTCGCCGGAAGGATACTATTACCAAGAAGGCATTTTTATTCGAATTCGAAATGGAGAAACGTTGGATATTAAATTCAATCCGGATCATCTGGGAACAAAAGAAGAAAGTGACCATGTCCAGTGCCATTAGTATAGCTTCAAAGAGCCCTTTAATGCAGAAGATTTTGAAAAGTTTGTATATCTCAAATCTCTCATCAAAACACAACTCCTACGAGGGCAAGACTTTATTTCATTCTTATCTGCCAACAATCTGGTCCCTCTCCTAACCATTGACAAGGAGCGCGCAACTTATGAGCGAGATAACTTTCTACTTGTCTTAGATCATATTAAAGGCTTAGACCCGATCTTAGAAGTTGAGTATGGTGTCGAAACGGACGAGCCTCTCAACACACAAGACATTGTGCAAAAAATAGACGCCATGATGGAAGGTTGGCCTTTACGACCTCTAAAATCTAGGAGTTTTGAAATGCTCTTAAGGTCAGAAAATTTTGATCTCTATAAAAAAGGAAAATATCTTTTAGACGAAGACCTTAAACCGAAAACCGCAGCATAAGAGCTCCTGATTTGAAGCCTGTTCTTAAAAACTAGGAAGGGCTTTTGATAAAAAGCTTCCAGAGAAGTATACCTAAGCTTAAGCTCAGGCATTCATTAGATCGCACTTTACCCAATACCCACATCGAAAAAATGGCCCTATCAAATAATTGACAAAATGGAAAATTCCAGACAAAATTAAGGCGTACTATATTATAGGATCGGAAGAATATGAGCTTACATCGTTATATTCTTATAAAGTTTTTTCTGATTATTCTTTTTTATACAACTGTTTCCTTTGGAAGCTAGATTACAGTTGATAACCTCTTTATAGAAAGCTTTATTCAAGGATACAATGCCTATCATCCAGATAAGAAAATTACAGTTGAAGACATTGTAAAATTTAAAGCTGTACCAGAAAAAGGAGACTTTTTTCTAGCGATTTATTCTCTCCAAGTGGAAGAGGAAAGTTTAATTTGCAAAAGCGTTTCGTCAAAATCAACAGAGCACAAAAAACTTATTAAACTTGAATCAATTTTAGATGGCTACGAAGACGCCCATGAAGAAGGTATGCCCAAGTTTGCGCGTTATTGTGGCCACTTTTTTACTACAAATAGTCAAGCCCACAATTATATTCAAAAAGGCAGGAGGTGAAAGCCTCCTCTCTTATATTAGGGGTTTTCTTGCCTATGTTCCTCAGCTCGATGATGAAGAACTAGAATGTTATAAGGAAGACACTTTTGAAGATTTGCATTGTATTGGAAAAACGTTAGCTAATCTCTATATCAAATCCTCTCTAATACACCGGGATTTGCACTACAATAATATCTTCGTTTACATAGATCCAAATGAAGCAGGAGTTGTTTCTGTAACCTTGATAGATTACGCAGATCTTTCAGAACTTGATGAAAATCGTCTTCCCCACGAGGATGTCCATAAACTTCTGTACCATTCCCATGAACTTATGTCTCATTGCCAATCAGACCCTTTGTTTGAGGGGGCGTTTCAACAGTTAGAAGATGGCTATAATCTGGCGTTTTCTGAGGCAGGCCTGTCTTGGAAAAGGTTTCAGAAAATAGAAAATGTATAGTCTCAACCATGCAAGCGCTACTATAAGCAATTGAAAATCCTTCCTTTATTTGTCAGAGCCACTGCACAAGTCAAATTTGGGGAGTCTTTCCCCAGTTTATCCGCTGTCGAATTTGACAAATACACTCTTCTTGCAAAAAAGAAGACATTCGCCAACGACCCTATCCTTCCAACACGTCTTATGAGAAGCGCTAAATTCATGTGTGAAAATGATTTTGGAAGGCAGCCTAGATACGTTAATATTGTTAAGGTTGAACGCAAAGGAGAAGAAGATTTTGATGCCCCTCCTTCCAGAGCCATATATATCATTGGTGAATATTTTAAACATGCAAAAGCCAAATATGGTTCCCCCAATAAAGCAACCCAAGAACAAAGCTTTTAACTTATTCGTTCACTACGACATTATCGGTCGCGACCAGGTAGAACAGGTTAAAGAATTCTTCGGTATTGACTAAAAGAGGAACCTATACTCTCTCCCTTATTTCCTGACAATTTTTTTCAAAAAAGGGAATTTTAAGGAATTTTTCCTAAAAAGCTTTAGCACTTATAAAGCTGAAATTGTATAAAGAGAAATTAAATTGAAAAAATAACCACATAATTTCAATAATTTAAAAAGGGGTGGAAAAATGAAAAATTTAATAAAAATGATATGCCTTATCGGATTGTTCCTGAATACAGGAAACGTTGATGCTTCCCTGACTATGCGACGTCCTCTAACTTTAGCATTCGATGATGACAATCCCCCTCCCCCACCTCCTACAACAAACACAAATCATTTTATGGAAGCTCCTAACGAGCAGGAAGAGATAATCTTTAACAATCAAGAAAGTGCCCCTTCTCACATCATCCGGATTAGTGCCCAGGTAAGATCTCAAGAGGTTTATAATATCTTTCAACATTGTGAAATTCTTCTTCCCAATTGTCAGAGAGTTCCCCCCAATTTTGAAAATGCTGAAAATGGTCGTATCCCTATCTTAGAAGATTTTCCTGTTGATGAATTTGAGACTGTCTCCTTCATTCTTGTAGGAAAGGCATACTCGCCCTATTCAAGGTGTTTAGAACCTGTTCTTTTTAGAAGAGTAATTGAAGGGAAAAAAGATGAACTTTTTCAGAATCTCCCAACAATGCGGCTATCCAATGGCAAACCTCTCTGCGCGATTCGACTCAACTTCGAAATACGTGAATTGAGATATGATGATTTAGGCAAGAAATTTCCTCTGTTTTTAAGGATCACAGGACGATACAAATATGGTGAGAAATCTCGAACTTTGTCCCCTGTTTCGTTTGGAGAATTCACAACGCTTCCTCCTAAAGATACTTTTGGCTACACACCACATATTCTTGAACAGGTTCGGAGTCGTTTCGTCCGAGAAAGCAACCGTGATCGCCGTTCTACTTATGTAAACGAAGATGATGACAGTCCCGACTCTATGGAAGAACATGAAACAAAAGGCTTCAACAGTCTTTCCATCCACCAAACGTTAGCGATTAGCACCTATGTTCTTCAAGCTATGGACATATACCGTGATTTAACCCCTGAAGACTGGCATGGGTTTTTAACCCTGTTTGTTCATTTTGATCTGATCAACCGACGACAGGTCGAAGATACCAAAACCTTGTGCAAAGAAAGATATAGCGCTTCTTTTGAATAATGGTACTACAAAGTGTCCCAAGTTGCGCAGAGAGGTATACCCATTCTGACCAACAATAAGGTGGTCGTGAACAGAAATTCCCATCAAGTCCGCCGCCTGGCGTACGCGTTGCGTTAGTCGAATATCCGCCTCTGAGGGAGTTGTATCCCCACTGGGGTGATTGTGGACTAAAATTAAAGCACTTGCCCCTAATTCCAAAGCGCGCTTAATAATCTCCCTTGGGTACAAGGGGGCACGATCCACAGTTCCTGTTTGCTGGACTTCATCTGCAATCAACATGTTTTTTTGATTTAAAAACAAAAGGCGAAACTGTTCATGTTTTAGATGGCCCATCGCTGCTCGACAATATTCACCAACTTCTTGCACATTTCCCATCAAGGGGGCATTCCGCATATCTTCTTTCAAAAGATAACGCCCCATCAC